GGGGGGGGGGGGGGGAGAGGGGGGCTTAATGACATAATTTATGGCCTCTGAACTATGAGTGATATCAATCGGGCGTTTAAACGCTTATGTATCTCCCCCGCCCTCCGGGAGATAGTGGATTGTTGTTCCAATAAAATTGATGGTTTCCAATTGCATCGGGTTGTTGCAGTGCACACACACCTGTACAGTGTAACCAATCATTTGGAAGTAATGATCTTAATCGAATAGTCCCGGTTAAATCCATGTATCTCGGGCTATCTGTTGTGTCCCTGTTCCCCGGTCGCGCTCGGTGACGCTGTTTTCGTCTGATGTGTGCTTATTACGGGGGTAGTTTATTGCGCGTGGCATTTGTTACACGCCGGGAGGTTTCACTGGGGTGATGGAGAATGAAAAAATGAGAGGGGGGGGGGGAAGGGGGAGAAAAAATTGCGAGGGCGCGGAAAAAGAGGTGAAAGAAATGGGCGTGAAAGCGGTGAAAGAATCCCCACACTCTTTAACCCTCCCTCGGTCCTCGGGGCTCTTGATCTCAAGCGGAAAATAGCTATCTTCCTTCAACATTCACCTCAAAATTCGCTCCATCAGGATTTAAATTTTTACCATGCCGCGGTCATAATTTTTACGGGTGGAAGCTCGGGGAATTTTTGCGGCGGAAAGTTGGAGACATTTTTCCGGGTTTAGGAGGGCATGAGTTTCAAGTTTTTTTGGGGAGGAGAGTCAGAGGGACAAGTTTTCGGGGTGTTTTAAGGATTTTTGGGGAGCGCTAGTTTATTCGGGAATTGGATTTTTTTTTTTCGGTGGGGGAATTCTGGGCTGTGACTTGGGACTTGGGATGCGGTCTCTTTTGTTGGAGACTTTTTACGGTTCGGGGATCTTTGCTTTTGTTGAGGGTGTTTCGGTGTTCCCGGTTTATTCTGGGAGAGAATACTTTGCGGAGTGAGGAGGTGCTCGTGGAGGGAGAATGGGAGAATATTTTATTCAGCGAGTTTTTATTGAGGATTTTCGAAGTCTTGAATTGGAGAATAATTCTGGTTTATTACTTTGCCGAGGGAATATTCATTGTTGAGGGGATTTTACTCTCGAATTTATATTTTTCTGTGATTGAAGTGGGAGCATCAATTTCTGTAGCAAAGCGGTGGAATGGTTTAAGGATCTGTGTATCTCAAATTATTCAATTGAATTGCGTGAGGAAAATTTCAAAATAATGAATATTCTGCGGCATTCAAATTAAATTTTGCACGGAATTATATTTTTTTACACATTCGTTGTTTTCAAATAAATAATTGAAATTGTTCCGGCTTTAGGAGAGCATGAGTTTTACGTTTTTTTTAGGGAAGAGATTCGGAGGGGCAGGTTTTCGGGGTGTTTTAAGGATTTTTGGGGAGCGCTAATTTATTCGGGAATTGGACTTTTTTTTTGTCGGTGGGGGAATTCTGGGCTGTGACTTGGGACTTGGGATGCGGTTTCTTTTGTTGGAGACTTTTTACGCTTCGGGGATCTTTGCTTTTGTTGAGGGTGTTTCGGTGTTCCCGGTTTATTCTGTGAGAGAATACTTTGCGGAGTGAGGAGGTCCTCTTGGAGAGAGACTGGTGTATTTTATTCCGCAAGTTTTTATCGAGGATTCTCGAAGTCTTCAATTGAAGAATAATTCTGGTTTATTACTTTGTCGAGGGAATGCAGTATTCTTCAATTGATTTTTTTTATTATTAAAGTGGGATGAAGTCCTTAACTAGAGGTGATTTCTCTTGCGACAATCCTTCTCTTTCGGCTATTGAAAGCATTTCGAATGCTGTTTATTCGGCTTGAAAGTAGCTTACGAGATAAGCGGATAATATTAAAAAAAGAATATTATGATTTAGTCAAGAGGTTTTTCATTAGTGAATCAAGGATTTCAAAAATGTTGATTAAAGAATAATTATTTTCGTACCTTAACGAGAGCAATTCACTGCTATTGGCAGAATACTATATTTTTGAACTGATAATTTCTTATTTCGAAAGGAGAATAAACGAAAAAAAAAACGAAAAATAACGAAAAATGGCATTTGTTTTCATTTGTAATTTTTCTATTCTATTCTCACAGAATCAAGAATTCGTCTCGTTTCTCCTTCCTCTCACTTCAGAACAATTTACTTTACTCAATAAATCTTTGACCACTAGAGCAGGAATTTTCAGTCCTGATAAAGAATAATTCACCTGTGACTTTATTTAAGAATTATTATTCTCGTTCCGAGAATATCTGTGTTCTTGACTTTGTGATAATGCCACATTCGTAATTCGATATTTTTTTATTGTTTCATTTAACGAGAAATAAAGAATAAGAAAATATAAAATGATAATTTTATTGTTGGGTTTTTAGATTTTATTCTTCTCGAGTCAAAGATTCCTTTCTGCTCTTGTCAAAAGCATTTCGAACTCAGTGGGTTATCCGATTTCAGAATACTTCAGAAGCAGTGAAAATATTCTTGAAGGAATAATACTATTCTTTATTCAAGAACTCAAGGAGGGATACTCCTTCTGCTTTATCGAGAGTCGCTCTTCTTGTTCCAAGAATATCTCAGTTCGTGAATTAGGAATGTCGATACTCTGGGGTGGAAAGAATACCCCAATTTGAGTCAATAATTAATTTTCCTGTCGATTCTCGGCTCACAAAGATTATTCATTGCCTCAAATAAACTTGGAATGTGGAAATTTTCATCAAATATTAAGAGTTCCTCTCAATTTTCGAGAAATTTCAGCGTGAGAAACAGGAATTTTGACAATCGATCAGTTTTCGTTGAATATCTCCGAATCTAACGCAGATATCAAAATTTTTGTCATTACCTTTTTTGTAGAGCAGATTGAGAGCTACAAAAAATGTAATGACGAAAATTTCGATGGCGCCCCCAGATTCGGAGATATTCCCCGAAAATTCATCGCGCCCCAGGAAATTATTAATGAATTGTCAATATTTTTCCAGTAAAATCGATGGGAAAAAATCATGTTGATTTTCCCCGCAAACTCGCTACCTTTCACAATATTTTATTGAACGCCCACGCATTATGTACCGTGACTCGAGCGAAGTAGATGTTATACAAATGAACGCTTCTAGCGACGAAGTACTCGTTCGGTTGACGTATAAAATTCGAATTTTGTTTTACGTGTAATAACTCTGAGTGGCACAGCAGCACTCCAGTCTCTTCCCCCCCAACTTGAGCGTCCATTTCCATTATTGCTGAAAGATTATCACTCCTTTTACCATAAATTTCGTTTTGCTCTGACAAAAAGTAGCATTTTTAATAATTACGCTACACTGAAATGACACATAATTGTCCTCAAGAAATAATTACCCCACTCCGCACATATTTTTTAACTTTCCCGAATAAAGTTACGGTTAGTATTACTCTCTTGGATAAAAAGAATTCAACTTGGGCAACAGTAATTGATGAAATTTACTCATAACAACTTTTTCGATAAAAAAAAAATCCAACTCCTCCGCAACTTTCGCGGAACAAATTATTTCTTATTAAAGCATGAGTTTTTTTTCTCGTAGTTTTTTTTTCGGTGGGAAAATTCCGGGTCGAGCTCACTTGCACTGAACTGAACTTGAACATTGAGAAAAACCAGTTTTTGATGGTGACAGTTTTAAATAAATGATGGTGACAATTTTCTATTTTGAAGTACTCATCAATTTTAAATTATTAAATCAATCAGCAATTAAGTATTCCAATTTCGAGTTGTTTTATCAATCAATGATTGCGGTATTTGGCTAATTAAAAATCCTTTTTATGAACAATTTTGTTGTTGTTCATTCGTTCGTTAATTTGTCATAGATGTGACGTTTCGCTAATTGACGAATTGACGATGAAAGAATATTTTTTCCCAAGAAAAAATTGTCCCCTCAAAATTATTTAGTTCTGCCAATAACAGTTATCGGCAAGAAAATTGTAGTTTCCCCTTGAAATCATCATTTGTTCCATGGAAATTATAAGTGTTTATTGGACAAAGATATACACTACTCAATAACATTGACTAGATAAACCCGGAGCCTCATATAATTCTCTGTAGAACGAATGTATTTACCCGAAAACCATATAAATGTCTCACGAGAACAATTACCACAACGAAAATCATCATGTTTTGGTGGAACCTTTCTTTTTGTCCACAAGTGAATTGATTCAACCCGACGAAACGTCTCTTCAGGGGAGCACATAGCGATGAAATACTATTTATACCAAACGGAAGGCTCGAAACCACTGCGAAAAAATTCGGGGACACGTGAAAAAGGTACTTCTGACAAATTTACGTTCATACTAATTACTTATATTAACCGCGGATAGTATTTCACCGCACTCCGCCCATATTTTTAATTCTCCGGTGTTCCTTGGCACAATTACTTTTCCACTGAACAAACTTTTGAACTCTAAACCGCAAATTAACACAATTTACTCGCAATAACTTTTGCTGCAATAATTGGGGGAGCTCGTTAACATTCTCCACAATAGGTCGTTTGAGCGTCGAAATATTTCAACAATGTTGCGCAGAGATACGGGATTCCGGCTTTTTTGGTGAACATGTGGAAGCGGAAACTTGGAACTCGAGACAAAAGAGTTTTTTTTCAGGATCACGGAGTGAACCGATTGAGGGATTGCACGGGCTAGTCCAATTATTATTTTACGCGAAAAATGATTGAGTTTTTTTTCGACGGGCGGGGAGACACGACAGGTGGAGATTGAGTTGTTGAAAAATTGCGATGGAGAATATCTAAATTATCGGGGGAGATGTTCTGAAATACATTGAGGAGAGATGCATTTATTATTAATTTATAAATTAACTAATGTGGTGATGGGTAATTAGTGGATTTCAAATGTGTTAGAATAAGATTTTTAAATTCTTAATTTGGGACTTTTACAGATTTAACCATTCAATAATCAAATATCTCAATTAAATTACGCGAAAAAAATTCGAAAAAAATTGTGAATATTCAGCGTCATTAAATTTTAAACATTCGTTGTTCACAAATTATTCATATAAAATGCTCTTAATTTTCAAGAATTGCAATTTTTTAATTATGTCATCAATCTTCCTCCAAATCTAAACTATTTTTTTCAGATTCTAAAAATGTTTTCTAACATTAAAAAATATTTTTTAAATGTCCGGAATCTGAGGGCCAAATGGGGCTCAACCGAAAGCTCTGAAGTTCAAGAAACCAAAGATAAAACCGCCAAATCCCCATAAATAATTAAAATCGTCAGGAACCTCAAGTTCAATTCAGACTAATGTCCAACTTAGTTTAATCAACTAGTAATCAAGATTGATGCGACTCGGTAAGAACGAGGAAACCAGATTTTATGAAATTGCCTCGGGGGAGGGTGGAACAAGAGACAGAACGAATCTCGTTAAATCTTCAGTATCTGCTGACCGAGAGATATGAATGGGCTTAACTTGATCTCATTCTGCAGTGTAAGATCACGAAAATGGCGCGAGAAGCGCCAAATTCCGGTCCAACACTCGACCACCACCGGCCGGGTTATTGACAATTAGAGAAAGCCCATTTTGCCCCGCACTCTTTCTCCTTCCCCCGGGCCATATCAAAAACTAGTCGATCGATGTGCGTTTATTTTCGGGCTACGCCCGTCCTAAGCCCAACCTGACATCTGTACAAAATCCTAGCTATCTAATTCGAATTGATCGCCAGATATTGAAGCGCTTCTGGGCACACACTGGCGCACATGCACGCACGCACACGGGAATTTCCCCTCGAAGCTACACATCTTTGTAATCCCGACCATTTTGAACCATCCCCACAAGAAAAAAAACAAGTGGGTGACCGGTATTGGGCCCTTCGAAATGTCATTATTATTGGGGGTCATTTGAGCGCGCAATGAGAGGAAAAATTAACTCCGAAAAGCTGTGTTCTACACAGAGAGAAATTTTTTAGAAAAATTCTAGTCCTAGCACGGGAAAAGAGGCGCAAAGTGACGGCCAGGAAAAAATTCCAGTGCCGGGACTAGAACTTTTATTGGGGAAAACGTGAATTTTTCCCCGTATTTCTGTGAAAATTTCACAGAAATCCCCAGAAATTTTACCAGAAATACCAAGAAATTTTACCTTAACAGCACTAGAACTTTTCACAGCCGGTGGATTGTGATTTTTCCAGTACTCGTACTAGAATTTTTCTAGAAAATTTCTCTCCGTATACGTGAGAGTATTTGACGGAGTGGAGCAGATTTACTTGAGGGAAACTGACCAGCTTGACGGAAGGAAATTTAATATCTTTCACAAAAATTAAATTTCGTTGTGATCATCAGAAATATCCCTAGAAGAATTTCAACTGTTGGCAGGAGAAAATATAATCTATTGTACGAGAATCATTTGTTCTGAGAGAACTCCATAGGTTTATACCACAGAAAGAATACATTCACGAGGAAAGAATATTTTTTTTTCCCAAAAAAAATTGTCCCCTCGAAATTATTTAGTTTTGCGAATAACACAGTTATCGGCAAGAAAATTGTAGTTTCCTCTTGAAATTATCATTTGTTCCGTGGAAATTATAAGTGTTTATTGGACAAAGATATGCGAATTCTGAATTATTTTATAAAATCCTGTTTAAGAAATTCAGAAATATTTGTCCAATAGTCAATTTACAATCACATATTTTCAAACGTCTCACGAGAACAATTACTACTGCGAAAATTATGTTTTGGTAGAAACTTTATTTTTTGTCCACAAGTAAATTAATTCCACACGACAAAAGTTCTCTTCGGAGGATTTGTTGTCCTGAAGATGGGAATTTTTTCAACGAAAAAAAAATACGTGAAGAAACAATTCCACCCCAACTCAATCATGATATTGTAATAACATTCCACAATTTAATAATTAAATAACACACCCATAAAAAAAAATGCCCCTTCTATGTCAGACCCCAAAAAACAGCTTCGTTTTAAAATTAAATTTCTCAAATTGAGACCTTTGAAAATCTGAAGTCAAGACTTTCCCCAGTTTCAAGTAGAGACCGTCAAAAGGCTTGAATTAAGACCTCTTAGCGTCTCAAATTGAGCCTTTCGAGACTCCGAACTCAGGAAATTCCGGCTTCCAATTAAGACCCTCGAAAATATCATTTTAAAACCCCTAATATCTTGAAATAAGGTATTACTTTTTAGATGCAGTTCCATCGGACATGAAATAGTCACAAATATTTTTATGCATCCATTATCTAAAAACAAATGTCCCCCGTAAACTAGATGTCTGACAATCCCCTGTGTTTTACCTTTTTCCATAAAATATATGGCCAGTAGAGTCTTACGAGATTTTTATTCCCTCAAATTCGCTCGTTTGTTCATTTTTCCCCGATATTCCTGGACTGATATTTCGTAACGCGACATTTCTTGCTCCAAAATGTCAATAAAGTGATTTCTGCGCTAATTAACGAGCAACAAATATCGGAGAAAATAATGCCGAATGCATAAAATATCTCAATCCCAGGGTTTCACAATCCGCTTGAATGCAAAAAATCAAAAAAAAAATTCGATCATTCATTCATACCTCCGCCATCCCCGTGCATTATTTGGCAAGAGTTAATTAATGAAAAACACGAATCGAAATGAATTAACACGCTGCACGGGCTCCTCCAGCCTCGTAAAACTCGTTGAAAGCCCGGTTTTACCAATGAGAAAGTAATAATAACGATGCGTTATAACTGGGATGAAAATAATTGGGATATATTTCAGTGCGGTCGTAGTATCGTATTACATTTCCACCCGCCCGTGCCACCCACCCCCTTAACGCAATTCGATACACTTTCCCGATATAATAAATCAAATTTTATTTACCCAGTCGAACATATTCAAAGTCTCCCATAAAATTGTCGATACACAAAAAAGAAAAAAAAATCCGAAATCCTTCTTTTTGTTGCAGAGAAGATATTTTACGAGTGAATCACGTGAACACGGGTGGGATTTAAAGTTTAAAATCCTGGAATAAATTGTTCTTTTTTTCGAAAAACCGCGACTGTAATTTCGTAATTCTCTAATTTTTACCTAAATTTAACATAATTTCTCTCAAATTGCGAGGCAATTTTTAGAGGGCGATATTCTCCAAAATTTAATTACATAACAATTTATATTAGTACCAGGAATTCATCGAAATTACGGATGAATTAAAAAAATGAGAATAGACTGTTAATAAAGTCCAAAAAACTTGGACTTTTAATTCTCGTTTTTTTTTTAATTTGTTAAAAATTGTCGGTTCTGTTATTCAAAACTTGCGAGATAAAATAGACACACATTATTTATTAACCCAGTCGACCATATTCAAAGTCTCCCATAAAATTGTCGATACACAAAAAGAGAAAAAAAAATCCGAAATCCTTCTTTTTGTTGCAGAGAAGATATTTTACGAGTGAATCACGTGAACACGGGTGGGATTTAAAGTTTAAAATCCTGGAATAAATTGTTCTTTTTCGGAAAAACCCGGACTGGAGGTCGAGAAGGGGGCAGAAGGAAGGAAGAAGGAGGCTTTTTACCCAAACAGAGGGGGTGGAATCTAGCAAAGGAAAATGGAAAAAAGTAAACGAGATAGGGTGGATGATCTGACGGCAGCGGAAAAACTATTGAGTTGGTGAATGACAAAAGACTGAAACAGGAAAAAAAGAATAGAGGAAGGAGACGAAAAAAAAAACGATAAAATGCGGATTTTAGTCGTTTCACTGCTCCTGAACGTTGCCATGCAGACCAGTAAGTTTTATCGTTTACTCCACTGTTTTTTCATGATTTTTATTCGTTTATTGGGAAATCGATTGGATTTGATTATGGAATAATACACACAGGATACACCTCTACGTACGTTGAGGCTGAGATGATTCATCAGTCGCGCGGGGGTGTTAACAATGCTGTGGATAATGGAGATGCATCAACAGTGAAAGTTCCAGCAATGAATTTTGGTACTGAAAATTCCACAACTATTTTCGCACAGTCCGGCTCGACTGCTCTACTGCCGTGCGTCGTACACAGCATCGGAGAGGGAACTGTAATTAATTTTTCAACACAACAATTTATCAATTTTTCCGAGGTTTTTGTTTTCCACTGTCTTACGTTGAAAGGCTCTTTGTTTTCTTTCCTCTCTCTTATTTTATCGTGGATGAAAAATTGATGGCGATTGTGTGAGGGTTTTCGGTGAAACTCCAGATATTTTTGACAATTAGGGAAAGAGGGGTTTTTGTTTGTGATTGGGAAATTTATCACGTTTTTTTTTTAGAAAATTTTACCTGAATATGAGATAAAAAATAAGAATAATTTAAAAATTCCAATTCTCTGTAATTTTCACCTAAATTGAATATAATTGGACTTGAATTGCAACATTCTCTAAATTAAATTGTATAATAATTTCACATAAATTATGAATGGATTTTCAAAAATTGGGAATTGTTAAAAATCAAAAGCTAAAAAATTGAGCTTTCAAAATTTCGGTTCTGCTCTTAATTCGTTATCGAATTCATCATTCTTCCTGTTATAAAATAAATCTACTCATGTTTAAAACCCATTGTCATTCAACGTACATTATCTGACGTCTTGACAGAATTAATGTTTAATTGTAGCAGGATTTCGGCTCTTGCGACTGTCTGCAGTTTAATAATGCAAAGGTTCTTATTTTAGGGACTTAAGGAATTGTGATTTAGTAACTGTTCTCATTTAAAATAAATGAGCTTTTGTTATTAAATTTTAGGGTCCTTTAGTCTGAACTTAACTAGCCAGTTTGTTACTCTATAATGCCTTCAATAACAATGAATTTCTTAAAATCAGAAACTAGTTTTTGCAAAAACCCCAACGTATTTTTATTTAATACCTTTTTTCATTCAAAATAAAATGGCTTTGGCCACTGAATATTAGGGTTCTTTAGTCTGAAATTAACTAGCTAATTTGTTATTCTATAATGCCTTGAATAACAATGAGCTTCTTAAAATCAGAAACTTGTTTTTGGAGATTAGGAAGTTTCTTCCCATCGCAATTCCCTACAAGCTCTCCTGGAAACAAATTATGATGAATCAATCACCCCAATAATTTATCAATTTTTTCGGCTTTTGTTTGTTCCTACATTAGAATGCTTTCATGATTTCCCCCCTTTCTTATTTTTCTTTCTGGAATTGTTGTGATTCATGTAGGTCACTTGGATCAGGCGTAAGAGTATACAACATCAATTACTAACCGTCGGACTGACTACCTACGCTAGCGACGGTCGTTTCCAGGCTATCCACTTTCATCATAGTGAGGATTGGACCCTTCAAATAAAGTACGTTCAACCGAGGGACGCTGGTATGTACGAGTGCCAAGTTTCTACACATCCACCCACAAGTATATTTCTGTTTCTCGAGGTCGTTGGTAAGAATATATTTTATTAATCTTATATTATCTTGATTTAGATGGTTGTGATTCAGCCGCGTGTTGTTTTTTTTATACTATGGGTGGACGGAGTTATCATACTTTCACTGTGTTAGGCTCTCGGGTGGAAGGATAAACTAGTGGCATTTTCCTTGATGGGATTTGTTTTAATTCAGTGTAGTGAAGTGGTGGAATAAAATAGGGAAGAATTGCTAGTGTCAAAGAAAAAAGGCCGAGAGCAATTGAACGGTTTTAGGTAACGGAAAAATTTCTGGTACAAGTTACCCCTTAAATCTAGTCAATATATTCTTACTAATAAATTCGTAATTTGCTTTTGAGTAGAATATCTGGGACGATGTATTTTAAATTGAATTCACTATTGCCGCAATGTTGGCAGCCAATATTGCGTCAACGTTGGCAGCCAACATTGCCCCAACATTCCCCCGACACTCCCGACCAATATCGGCTCAGTGTCGGCAGCCAACATTGTGCCGACATTGCGCCAACATTCCCCCAACGTTGGCAGCCAGCGTTCGGTCACATTTCCCTACATTTCATGGCCTAAAAAAAGCATATTTGAGCTCCTGAAGCCAAAATGCGTTACCCCACCACAAAAATTAAAAAATTTCGAATATAACGAATATAAAAATTAAAAATATAATAATATATTTTCTGAAAACATCTCTACCCCAAAGTGAAATTGATATATTCTGCTCCACCACTTCACCAGTGAATTGAATCATTAATAACGCTGAGATAAAAATCTGCACAAATATATCTCTTCACCGAGTGGATAGCATCCACTTCAATTTTATGGCTGAAAAATTGACTCCCTGAAGCATCTGTTATTCAACATAAGAGATTGTACTTTCTCAAGTGGAGCATTCGCTTTAACCAACATTTTTTTCTCTCCCTCCAGCATTGCAAGTGCCATATGAATATGTACTCCACATGAACGTCATTCCAATTCATCCGACTTGCGCATTTCGATGCGTCGTATATGTCACCCATCGCAATATTGAATAATTAAACTGTTGGGATTCACTCATTTCAATGTAAATGTTTGTCGTTTCGTCATTCAATTAAAATCCTCATATCGCCTAGAGCTATTTCAATATGGCTCTTCCAATAATTCCTGTGGAATTCAGGAATAATATTTATGGCATTCCCCAACCGTCCGAAGAACATATCACTCTTTCTAACTAATTAATCATTAGTAGAATGACCACTTTTCGGTACGGAATAATCTATTGCCACATCACGTGCTGCCATGCATTAAATGTTCAATTCAATCAGTGGATTTTCTGTAATCGTGTTTCAATTGAAATAATTTGCATGCTAGTGTTTTATTCTTTGTTAAATTATTCTTTGAACTGATTCAATGACTGTGTCGATTGTTATTCAGTAGTTTTTTCCTTCCAAATGGAAGTATTGTACTCAGGAGTTCGAAAATGTTATTTTTGTGATTTAAAATATTCTTCCCAATGCCATCTTGAACGATTCTATCATGAGATTGATTGCATCATCTGTTGGAAAAATTTATTTCGAAACAAATATTCAAGGAAAGGTAAAAAAATTTAACGTTGGGGCAATGTTGGCACAATGCTGGCTGCCAACGTTGGAGAAATATTAAATTCAATTTAAAATACATCACCACAGAAATTCCATTCGGAAGAAAACGGCCAATTTTATTATTAATATTTATTATTATTATTATTTATTTTATTATTTTATTATTTTTTTAATCATTTATTATTATTGATTTATTATTTATTTATGATGTTGGATGACTCGTACATAAAAAAAATTAAATTGAAATGTCTCAGACAGTTTTAACCCTCTACTGCTGATAGAATTCCCCCCACTCGGTCGTTTCTCCGTAAGAGCGCGCGGTCCCTTCTCCCGTGCTCATCAGCATCAGGTCATATGAGTAAAAATTTCATAAGTCAATGGAAGCAGAGTTGAGTTAGGTGGAAAAATTTAGCCGGAGCGTCCAGTGGAAGAGTTAAGTCGATGGGTTCTGCTCAAGAGGCATGCGTGGGGCTCAAGGTGAATAATTGAGCTGGAGTGTCCATCAATCCTAGTTGAAGGGGAATCAGCCATAATGGGAAAATCGTTCAAAGCCCGCAGAATCACGCAGTGACAGTCGTTCGGCCACAGGGCTCTGGCGTAATTTATTGTTAGCTAGCATCTTTTTTTTATCTCTTGTGTGTAAATTGGTAGGAAGAGGTGAAATATTCCCCTGAATGGGATTGAACATGTCGAATGATGTGCAATATGCGGAGAAACCGTAGGACAATTTCGGAATGTTGGGGTTTCTCGCGATATCAATTCATTTTCAATTGCTTCATTGGTGACAATTTTTTATTGATATTTTTGGTTTCTGAGGCTCAACAACTTTCTATTGAATTTTCAGGAAAACTTGAAATTTCATTATTTTTTTTCCAAGTGTTTGGAATTTTTATTATTAATCATTTCGGGTGTAAGTAATAATGAAATGTCAAGAATAATATTTTCAGCGTTATGTGGCGTTAAAATTGTTTAAATGAAGCCTATTGTGATTTAAAATACTCTTCCCAATGCCATCTTGACCGAGTTCGATCATGAGAAACCAATATTCAGGTAAAGGTAAAAAAAAATTGACGTTGGGGTAATGTTGGCAGCCGACATTGCCCCAGCATTGGCCCGACGTTGGGGTAATGTCGGCCGCCGACGTTGGCGCAATATCGGCTGCCAACATTCAGGCAATATTGAATTCAATGAATCATCGAATTTAATTTAAAATACGTCATCCCAAAAATTCCATTCGGAAACAAATTGTCGACTTATTACCAAAAATATATTGACTATGTTGTAACGAAAGCAATTTCCCACTTTTTAAAATTACGATACTCATCGTAGTCGGCATATTTGCCCCTGTAGTAACCCTTAAGCAAGCCTCATAAGAGCCTCACGATATCATCACCATCTCATATTCCCAGTGATTACTCCAAAATTCCATATTACGACGAGAGACAAATGTTTCGGTTCAATTATTCATAATGAAGTATTCATTCGATGATACGAACACTAATGAAACATTACAAATTTTCCCCAACTGAGAGATCACGATTTAAATTTTAAATGGGGATGAATTGTTGGATCAAATCTGAAACTTTCTCATGAAAGTTTCGTTAATCAAACACACACCCCTCCAACAGCACACCATAGAAATCCATCTAACTCGGAATTCAAGCCCGAGAGTTATTTCACATAATCCGCAAACAAAATTCTAATGACCCACAGACACAGTTCATCCGAACGGAATAATCCTCGCTTTAAATTAACTCTTTTGACTCGACGCTGAAGGGAGCTAACACATCAGGGTAATTCATTAGCACTAGTTATTTACACGGTTGATTCAGCAATCAAGGGAGAATTTGAATATTCTTGGCGAGAATTATCGAATGCCATTTCGAAGGGATTCATCATCTCCATGAAATTTATTCAGCCCGAACAAACATCCATTTCCCCTGCATTCTTTCAATAAAATACCCGTGACCCCACATATACCCTGGTGAGATAATATTTTATATGAATATGAATTTCAGCTGCGCTCGGGAAAAATTTCTCCTATCAGTGGAATTCGTTTTTTTTTCTCTCTCGTGAAAGAGATAGGAAAATTCTTCGTTTGTTTCAGTAATGCGGGCACTCATTCAAGTTTGAAATAAAATCATTTTTTTTTCGGGTGAATGAATTAATTTATAACGGGAAGCCATGTGGTGCGATTTGTGGAGGGAAATTTATTCTTATCGATGGATGCATTGGGAGAGAGCGAGGTGGCATGATTTTTCGTCTCGTACTAAGAGAAAAAATTAGTTTGTCTGAAAAACTATTTCCCTCCAAACAACAGTGTAATTGTCACACAGAAGTGATAAAAATTGCCTAGAAATTTACCGGAAATTTCAGCGAAAAAAAATTTCAATCTGTTTATGACAAAGTAAATCCAGAGGGGAATGTTTTATTAGAAATAAAAAATTGCTGCGTTCAATGTCCCCGGGAACTTGGGTTTTTTTTTCTCCCGAGTACTGTGAACCAGTCTCATTACTAGACCGGAATAAATTCTATTATTCCACCTGATCAAATCATGTCCGTTAATTGACCAATTACACCCCTGATGTTAAATCAGTCTCGCTGTGTAACAGCTAACTAAACAGGTCGAACCTTTTCCATATACTCATTCAACTTTCAATGCATTTGCGGAAGTTGAAGTATTCCAGTTGGTGACTTCTTATCTCCCACCATCTTCATTCGATTTTTCCGCCAGTCGAGTTTCTCCATACAACAGTCCAAACTAAATTTTCCCCCACTTCTCGTCAAATTTATTCAAGGAGAGAATGGCTGTTTATTTTTCATGAATTGCGGGGGAATAAATTTCCAGGAATCCCGAGATGTAATATTTAGTGGGTTGGATGTATAATTGTGGCAGTTTGTTCGTTCACTTGAGCAAATTTGATGATTTTAATTGCTCAATCAAATAGTGTCACTGCGGGATTCACATGGCAAATATGATTTTGGAGTTAATATGGTATTGTTAATGTGTTTGAACAGTCACGTGGAAATGCAAATTTCAACATGAGATAATTTTTTGGAAGAGTGAAGAGGAAAACAAGCGAGAAATTGCGGTCGTGGCTGCATAGTCAATATATTTTTGATAATAAATTAGCAATTGGCTTCGGAATGGAATTGCTGGGACGATGTATTTTAAACTGAATTTAATGATTTATTGAACTCAACATTGTCCCAAGGTTGGCAGCAGATATTGCCTGAATGCTGGCAGCCGACATTGCTCCCATGTCGGCATTCAACATTGCCTCAATGCTGACAGACAACATTACGTCTGTGCTGACGGTCAACATTGTCTCAATGCTGACAGTCAACATTACCCCATGCTGACAGCCAACATTCTCTCAATGCTGACAGCCAACATTACCCAAATGTTGACAGCCAACATTCTCGCAATGCTGACACAGACAACATTACCCCCATGCTGACAGCCAACATCACCGCAATGCTGGTAGCCAACATTACTTTAATGCTGACAGCCAACATTCTCTCAATGCTGACAGCCAAAATAACTGAATATAGGTTTCAAAATAATTTTTTTCAACAACAGATAATGCAATCAATCTCAGGATCGAACTCAGTCATGATTGCATTGAGAAGAATATTTTAAACCCCAACAGGATTAATTTAAACAATTATTTTTTCAATTATAAATTTCACAACAAAACAAAAAATATGAAGGAAAACAAAAACACGAGTTTTTATAATCTACTTTACTGCAATAAAATCGAGGCATTGATCGCACGCCTCTTCAAGTGCCAGTGTATACTCTCCAGCATTGAAAGCCCTCCAATATACATTTTCTCGATGAAAATAAATAAACCCATAAGCGGGCTCATTCCATTTCAGATACGTTTGAAGATTATAATCTCGTTTCTCTTTATGTAACGTAATATATTGGAAATTGAATTGAGGTGAACGCCTTCGATTCCGCCAGGCACTACGCAGTATGTTGGAAATGAACGGGTCAAGTGGTAATTTTGAGTGAACAATTCGATGCTGGGGGGAATTACCGATCCCCAAATGGACGTAACAACCCTTTACCCATCGATTATTCTTTGAAATATCAGCGGGATTCAGTTTTTATATCGAAAAATTGGCTTATCGAGCCACGTCGAGTGGTAATCAATCAAGGGAAATTCACGTCAAGTTGATTGTTGTTTAACTATTCTTCCTATTCGCTAATAATTGCTTTTCTACCAAGGGAATTTGTACTTCGTTAACTGGGAATGAAGGGGATTGTGATTTGAAATCGAATTTTCTGGTTTCGTATGGCCTGAAGATATTGCCTTTTACAATCGCAGATAAAACTTCTTTTTTGCTTGCGTGTGCGCCCAAAAAATGAGATTTATCTTGAGACTTATGATGTCAAGTCAACTTAAGAATTTCGCGCTTCAAATTGAGACTTTTGAAATCTTGAAACAAGGTACTATTTTTTTTGTAGGTTTAGTTAGGTGGGAGCGGAGTAAAATGGGACAGTGCACTGACAGAAAAATTAATTTTATCAAGAGAATTTTAGTTGAACCAACTATCATTTGGCTGTTAATTTTCAAATAAACATGATTTCATAGTGAATACCAGTTATCGCTTCTTGAGATACATTTGATTGGGAGAAATCGAACTTCTCTAGAATTGAAGTTCCTTTTATTTGTCGCAATAATGAGAGTATTTGATTTCTTTCTAGCCAAAAGTTTGCCAACTCCAGAAATTCGTTGGTTTACTCAAAAATCAAAATTATTCTCATGACTAAATACGTTGTTATGTCAATCAACACGATCATACGTTGTTCCAAGTAAATTATAATTGAAGTGAGCATTTCGTATGTCGAATCAGGATGAATATTGTTACGCGGAAAAAGCTTTGAGATTCTAGTAAGATGTCGTTGAGTTGAAAGAAGTTTATATTTCTTGACTAAAAAAAATTGCATTAGTTTACAATAACAGAATCACAGATTACGGCAATTCTACACAAACTTGGATATCACAAATTTCGTTCAATGTGATGTACGGAAAGCTCAATTTAAACATCGGCTTCATTCGAGAAAACAACATTCAATTCATTCCTCAATGTAATCATCTCCTAGGTACGAATTTTTGATCAATTCATGAAAGTAGAAAATTTCTCGACTGGAGATTACATTAGGTTGAAAAAAATAGAACTTTTCCATTTTGTGGTGAATACATGTGACTTGACGGCAAGGACTGTTTTATTTAATTCAAGTTAATGTATCTCAAGAAGAAATAATTGATATTCACCGGAAGATCTTATTTGTTTGAAATTGGTTCAGGTATGTAATACTTGTTCCAAGAACGCAACATCTCAATAGAAATAATTTTTTCTGTCAGTGTAATAGAGTAAAATTCACAATGCAATAAAATGAAATAGTATGAGAATTAATTTTAAGGGTTCCATCTTGGCCCGTGTGTTCGTTCTATCTCAGCTATCTCCACCAAAAATCCTGGATCAACTGTTGGCAATATGGCTATTCTCCTGACCCTTATACGGGTCAATATTTTGTTTACGGATTATGTCAGACTACTCTCCGGGGTGAAATCATAGTGAGATGAATTTGCATGTTGCTGTGTCGTTGAAGGGGTTCTGTTTGGCTAACGAAACTTCCATGACCAAGTTCTAGATTTGATCCAACAATTCAGCAATTTAAAATTTAAATCGTGATATCTTAGTCGGAAAGACTTGTTATGTTTTATCGAGTTTATCGCGGATGAATACTCCATCGTGAATAATTAATCTGAACTGATTGCATCGGCGTTGTATAAAATTCCGATTAGTGATAATTATTATTGATTTTTATGAACATTACATAAGAGACAGAAATAGAAAACGAAAATTAAAATCTCAATTTAAATAAGGATATCCAAGCCCTTTGACTAGTTTTCCCCGCTGAAGTGCTTTTTTAATTTTAATTTTTGACCCTAAGTTTCCGGAAATTTTACAATGATTTTATTATTTAAAATCTCGACATTCAACCGTTAGAAAACATTTTAAAAATTAAAAAAAAATTAAAAAGTTTACTTTCGGAGGACGATTGATGAAATAATTAAAAAATTGCAGTTTTTGAAAATTACGAGCGCTTTCTATAAATAATTTATAAACAATCAATTTCCCACCACAAAAATCATTTGTTCGGAACTGCAGAAATTGTTATTGCCTTTTTTTATTTGAAATCAACGATGCTGAACTAGTAGAACGTAATCAGTAACAACTCATCTATGATGATTCGCGCTTACCACCTCAATATTATTCAAGTTGACGTGTTTACAAGCCCTCTTTCGCGCGAGTCGCGTTATGTGCATCAACAATAATGAGCCATGAGAAATTCAGCAGCTTTTAGCGCACATTTGCATACCATTGAGATACATTATTTTGGTGAAACGCTCATTGACATTCTGAACGAGCTTTTCAGATTTTTTCGCACAAGAGAGGATCAAGTGCCGCACCTCAGCAATTGTTCTGCGAACTCCCCTCGAATTTCACAACACCATTTTTTACGAGAGATTTTTCACGAAAATGCAGACCCATTTGATTTTATTATTTAAACTTTGCAGGTCTGAATTTGAATCTCGATATTGAACCGTTAGAAAACATTTGGAAAATCTGAAAAGAATATAACATTCACTTTTGGAGGACGATTTTATACCTAAATAATAAGTTTTCCAAAACTTTAAACAATTTCAATAATTTATTCATCAACAACGAATGTTTTAAAAAATTCTGGTCTGCACCAAACTGTAAAAAATCCTTGGAACTCCTTAATGAAAATTCCTGGAATACCAGTACACCACACCAGTTCTTGAATTTGGGAATGAATTTAATAAGAAATATCTCTAATTAAATTTCCGGGCATCAGCAGAAAATCTTTTGATATTCATCAAAAGCCCGTCCCCCCACCAGTTAAATTGACTCCGCCTGTTTCGTGCCCTTGGTCACAAAATTAAATACCTCCCATTCTAAAAATCATATGATGTTCGCCTATTCAACCTTCAAATGACAAATTTCTCATCCCCTCCGAGCTAATTGAAATTCATAATATCCCATTCTGAACAGCTCAAACCAAGTTTCAGAATGATTCTCATTATGTGTGCAAACGTGCATGTGAATGCCACTTTAATTGTAGCCCGTAGGGTACACTTTATTGCGCACCACAACTGACATTCTCATCAACTCGTCATCCCTTGATATGGATTCATAATGTGGTATTTCGATGAGCAGAGCCGCGGGTGAAATTATCGCGTTGAGGTCGTGAAAATTCGCCGGGTCATTTCCATTAAGAATTTATTTGCAAATAATACATGAGCAAGATGTTTTGCCGCGTCACGAGGAAAAATTAAATTTTACAAATGGCATGTCCGAGGGTATGTGCGAATACAGCACCTTAATGAGTAGTAGCTGATAAAAAATTGATGACAATATTCTCTCAGTGTAATTCAATTAAATTGCGCTTCACAATTCAATGCGGTCGTTAATTTCTCCCCAATTTTTCCTCAACTTTTCTCACCCCGCGTTACATCCAACAAATTGAGAGCCAATTTCCAAATATCATTCAGATACCTCCAGCACTGGCCCTGATTAATCATCCAATTAAACAATCAATTACCCGATGACTCAACCGAAAGGATAGCCCTCCAAACCCCCAAATGAAATATTAACAATTAATCACCCCCACCGAAAGCGATATAATTGCCCTTTATAATTGAACAAATCAACTAATCCCACCATTTTAATCAAACACGTCTAACTATTCACAATCTCAGCTATAAAAAAAAATTGCCATGAAAGAATTCATTAACCTAAAATTAAATTTTCATATTTCTTTAAATTTATGTATAATAATAATAATAATAATAATAATAATAATAATAATAAATAATCTACTTATTCATTTATTTTGCTATTCATTAAGCAATTTCCTCATTATATTATTTGTTATTATTTAAATATCATTATGAAATATTAACAATTAATCGCCGCCACCCAAAACGATACAATTCCCCCTGATTGAGTAAATCACCTAATCCCACCATTTTAATCAACCCCTCCAAACCCTTCCAACATCCCCAAAAAAACTCGCCATCAAAGAATTCCTCCCCCTCTTTCACAAAGAAAAAACGAAGAAAGTTTCACTCTGATTAAAATGACGAGGAAGGAAATTGAAAACATGAAAAAAAGAAAAATATTCTCTTTCAGAGGCACGAGCGGAAATTGTCGGGCCAGCCGAGAAATTTGTCCGTCCAGGAAGTACTCTACAGCTCCACTGTCTGGTTAAAAACTCAACCGAGACGCCGTCTTATCTATTTTGGTATCACAACTCACGAATGATAAATTACGATTCCGATCAAGGGGTTAATGTCAGTACGGATCTTGTTGTGCGTGAGAGTTGGCTGGAGGTGCCCAAAGCGTCGGATCGTCACTCTGGTAATTATACGTGTGAAGCCAGCAATGCTGTGCCAGCACGTGTATTCGTGCACATATTGAACGGTGACAATCCAGCAGCAATGCAGCACAGTTTAGCATCGAATAAAAATTCAACACTACTCATAACTATTATTTGGCTCACTATTTTCATCATACCGAGTGCATTTTTTTAATGGAAAAACAAAGCAATGATGGATCATTGGAGTTACAAGGTTTATTCAAATGTGTGTAAATATTGGTACAATCGATGGGTAACTGTACATAATCCCATGCATGTGTATGCTATGAATAAATGATAATCTACTTCATATTTCATTGACATTTTTTCCTGCCCTTCTCGTTTAATGTTTAGACGCGCGAATTATTGCAATTCTCTCCCTCAAAAATCCTGGAGTCCAGTGAAATCTTCAATATTCACAGGAGAATGGTTCACTTGAATTGAATAAATTTTATTTGAATCAAATAAATCGTTTATTTCAGTGGCGAAAAGGTACACCGTGTTGAGTCGATTTTGACTTTTCGCCAGTTTTTGATTAATATCTGGGAATCTAAGAGAGATAGCTCAATTTTTCTCAGGACCTTTTTTATAGCCCTCAGTTGGCTCTACAAAAAAGCTTTTGACAAAAATTTTTCTATCTCTTTTGGATTCCGAGATATTCGTCAAAACCTGGCCAACAGTCAAAATCGGCTTGACCCGGTTTACCGCTTCGCTACTGATTTGATTCTAATAGAAGATTTATTTAAACTTTATTTAAATTAAATAAATTAGAATATCATTTTTTTAAAAGATTACTTTTTTTATTTAAATTGGATTGATTTAATTCAAATAAATCATTTTTCTGAGCATAATTTTTTGGCTTTTGATAAAAAATTGCCATTCGAAATGTCGAGGCAGCGGAATGCGTTTGTCTACGTTTCCCGGGATCTCCATTTGCAGCAAATGAACAACTCTTTATTCGAAAATACAATACGTCCACATGCGAATGGAAATGTTAAAACCCATTTACGATTTCAGCAAATGTTTATACTCCAAACAACGGATGTCGATTGAATATTCAAAAAAATTTCGTCAATTCGGGGATTCACATTTGCTGGAGTATTCCTCCTCATCGATATTTTAGCATTTATTTTACGTATAGAAACCACCGCGGGTGGTGGTATGGAACCCTCGATTTGGCTCCATTAGTCCTGGTGATATCAAGAAAAACGTTTACCCTCAACTCTGTTATCCCAACGAATTCAGTGAAACTATTGGAGCAAAATGGGCTGTCAAGTGGGTAAAGAAACCGAAAATTTTCCAGGGATTACCCCCATCTCAACCCGTTAGGAAATGCAGGGAGAAAAAAGGTGGAGACAATTTACCGAACAAGTCAAGTAATCGTGGAGCGGAACTCGATCATCAGTAGGAGAGAGTGGGGCAAGATGGAACCGTCGCAATTCAAGCAAAAGACAAATTTTTTTTACCAACTTCATTATTGGGAGTGCAGATGAGAATAATAATTTTTTATTAGTCTTATAAATCGATGGATTATAATTAAATTGATTAGATTAGGCCGATTACAACAGTTTTCTTTTCTCATTCGATTGAATGCGAAATATCATTATTATTGTTTCATTTAAGGGTTCATGTCTTGTCTGTGATTATTAGACAGTCGAAACGAAAAACTACTATCCCTTGTTTCGCATAAAACAAAGATTTTTCTTGACATGACAAATGACATTCCTCGCGTGTCCAGAAAATGCAATTTTTTTTTAACTACTAAATCTATTTTTGCCACAAAAATTTTTCATTCCGGCGCACTCTCTGCATGTTTGGCACAAAAAAAATCCTTTCCCGATAATTTTCAAAAAACTGTTTTCTTGGCGCAAGTAAGACTTGTTTGAGAACTTTGTCCTGGGCCTTCCTCTGGACTTTAGATTGTACTATTTCATTTTCTTTCCAATTAATCCCTTGACAAGACCTTCTCCCGTCACCACTTCTCAATAATTTTCCATTCTACTGAAAGCAAAATTATTATTCTCATCAGCATTCCCAAGAACAAAAAAAGTATTGTCACGATTACCTTTCGGACATGAAAATTTGACACGATTGTCACGGCAATTTTTATCCAACTTTTCTCTTCACGTGGGATAATAACTGGATTTCCCCTCTGATTTTTACTACGGAGTAATGTCCCTACTCAATCATGTGACGGTCTATATTCACATTTAGTTACTCCTCTTCATTTTTCGTGCTACAGAAATGTAGCCCCGTGAGAGAGCTGGGGAGGGAGTTGTCGATACGGCAATATGAGAGGTCGATACAGACGTATTAAAGGAGAGATGGTAAGATGTAGCCCTAGTTCTTCCACAATTTTCAGCCATCTCACCGTCAGATTCTGCACTCAGAGAAATGAGGCTTTTTAATTAAACGAAACCGTTTATTTGAAGTCCCTCCATTTGATTCAATAATTAATTTACTGCAAATTGATGAACTGGCATGTGGACTTCAAAGGAAATAATTCAATCACACATTCAATAATTCAATTATTTTAAATGAATGGCTAATTAGTTCCGAAGTAATAGTCTACAAAATACACAATAATGTTGCAATTCACTCTATTTTAGGTAAATGGATGTCCTGATAAAACAAAATTGCTCTTCAATTCAACGGAATTAAAACTGGAAAAAGAATTTTGAGACACGTTTTTAATTAATTTAGCAATGGCGGAGTTGTTGTGGAGAAAAGCGAAATCTCGGAAAAAAGTTCTGATATAAATGTCGCCATATCCCTTCAAATCAATCTCGCGACAGTCCCTGATGTGTATCTCCTATTCTGCAGAAGATAACAGAATTTTGATAAAGATCTCTTTTGTGGTGAAAAGTGGGATCTACAAAAACTTTCGCATCGAAATTTCATTATCTCCCCTAAAATCGGAGATTTTTATCGAAAACTCCCTCCCAAGATGAGTTGACTTATCGTATTTTGGTGCTTCAATTCAACGGCCATTACTCAATCCTGTAATTGTCTATATTTAAATTTAATTGGAAATTTAATCTCGTAGTGAAGGGGTAAAACGGTTCACGTTCATTTTGACTGTTGGCCAGTTGTCAATGAATATCTCGGAATCGAGGGGAGATAGCCAAATTTTTGTCATGACCTTTTTTGTAGCCCTCAATTCGCCCTACGAAAAAGGTTATTATAAAAAATTCGCTATCTCCCTTAGATTCGGAGATATCCCGCGAAAACTCAGCTAAAAAAAAATTGTTCATTTTTACTGTTGGCCAGTTTTCAATAAATTTCTCGAAATCTAAGGGAGATAGCAAAATTTTTGTTATGACCTTTTTTATAGCCCTGAATTCACTCTACAAAAAAGGTCATTACAAAAAATTCGCTATCTCCCTTAGATTCGGAGATATTCCTCGAAAACTCAGCTAAAAAAAATTGTCCATTTGGACTGTTGGCCAGTTTTCAATGAATATCTCGAAATCTAAGGGAGATAGAAAAATTTTTGTTATGACCTTTTTTATAGCCCTGAATTCACACTACAAAAAAGGTCATTACAAAAAATTCGCTATCTCCCTTAGATTCGGAGATATTCCTCGAAAACTCAGCTAAAAAAAAATTGTCCATTTTTACTGTTGGCCAGTTTTCAATAAATATCTCGAAATCTAAGGGAGATAGCAAAATTTTTGTTATGACCTTTTTTATAGCCCTGAATTCACACTACAAAAAAGGTCATTACAAAAAATTCGCTATCTCCCTTAGATTCGGAGATATTCCTCGAAAACTCAGCTAAAAATGAAAATTGTCTCGAAGATATGGATTAAAATTACCGAAAAAATCGCAAGCGTTCGGGAGAATTAAAACATAATAAAAATAAAAATGCCAATTTTCGCTGACAATTTACAATATCCACTGAACTTAATAATTTACTAGCCCGCACATAATAAAATGAATGAAAACCCCGTGATTTATTCTTTCTTTACGTCATTCTTGAGATAAAAAAATATGACTTTTCGTGAATAAAATAAAAGATAAAAGTTCTCCTGTTCGTCCTACATTTTGTTATGATTTACATTTTAAAAGCGGCTTGAAAACGTGTGCCGCTGCACATTTACTATCAGCATCGGAGTAATTTTACCAACAATTTTCTTGCCGCGTCGATACAGAAATACAAGAGGTCAATACAGGCATTTTAAAGTAGAGATAAAAAACGCATACAATGCAAAGTGTAGCAATATCTCATCCATACTTTTTTATTTTTTATCCATTTCTCCGTGTATCCATAAAACTTGAATACAAGCCCCTGTACAATATCTCGGAGGAAGTTCTAGATCTACAATAGAGTTGCTCAATGAAATTTCAACGCCTCTTACAAAGACCATTGAGATATCCAACTTCAGAAACTAATTGCTTCGCTGATTTACTACAATAATTCATTGATTTCTTGCTCCTGACACTTGTCGATGGGAATCTCCCCCTCACTTAGTTGTATTTATTTAACACTCGCCCTTGAGTCTGTTGACTTATCCTCGACCACTTGACATCAATGACCTTTGATATTCGACCGGAGAAAAATCATTATTTTGAGATTTCCAAGTTGATAATAATGTGAATGTTTCTAATATTCCCAAGCTATTATTAATTTTATCAAGAGAATTTTATTTGAACCAACTATCATTTGTTTGTTAATTTTCAAATAAACATGATTTCATAGTGAATACCAGTTATCCCTTCTCGAGATACATTTGATTGGGAGAAATCGAACGTCTCTAGAATTGAAGTTCCTTTTATTTGTCGCAATAATGAGAGTATTTGATTTCTTTCTAGCCAAAAGTTTGCCAACTCCAGAAATTCGTTGGTTTACTCAAAAATCAAAATTATTCTCATGACTAAATACGTTGTTATGTCAATCAACACGATCATACGTTGTTCCAAGTAAATTATAATTGAAGTGAGCATTTCGTATGTCGAATCAGGATGAATATTGTTACGCGGAAAAAGCTTTGAGATTGTAGTAAGATGTCGTTGAGTTGAAAGAAGTTTATATTTCTTGACTAAAAAAAATCGCATTAGTTTACAATAACAGAATCACAGATTACGGCAATTCTACACAAACTTGGATATCACAAATTTCGTTCAATGTGCTGTACGGAAAGCTCAATTTAAACATCGGCTTCATTCGAGAAAACAACATTCAATTCATTCCTCAATGTAATCATCTCCTAGGTACGAATTTTTTATCAATTCATGAAAGTAGAAAATTGTGATTGACGCCAAGGACTGTTTCATTTGATTCAAGTAAATGTATCTCAAGAAGAAATAATTGATGTTCACCGTAAGATCTTATTTATTTGAAATTGGTTCGAGTGTACAATACTTGTTCCCAGCAAGGAACATCTCAATAAAAATGACTTTTGGCTGGCATCGTCTCGGGACAACCCTTAAGGTAATGAAATTTCTGTTTTTTGACTGTTCACACCAGAAGAAATTTAGCCCCGCGGGAGGAGCGTTGAGACTTGTCGATACAGCGACACAAAGGGTCGATACAGACATATTAAAGTAGAGATAGCAGTTAATACAATGCAAAGTGTAGCAATATCTTGGCCACATTTTTTAGTCATCCATTTCTTGCCGTATCCATAGCACTGGCATACAATGCCGATAATAAAACAAGCAATACCGAGAAAATTGTGCATAGCTTTAGTACCAACGGGCTTTAAAATCTTCCGCAGTTGGTACGCATAAAAAACAGATGCTCCGGAAATGCCAAGGAAAATCATTATAGCGACAGAAGTTATACCCAAGATACCGTGGACAGATCTGAAGTGGGTTTTTTTTGTCAGATAGAGGATTGAGGTGCCGGCAATGCTGAACGATGCACCCAGTATTTGAAGGCACCAGTGTACGTGACTTCTTGTCTTGTAGCTTTTTAATTGACGTGATAAGGGGCTCTCCGATGTTAGCACCATCAAGCCCTCGGACATTAGGAGAACGTACTGCAGAATAATGTAAACGATATTTTAATGAGGTAACTGGATACGGGGGCTTTGTATTGTTGAGCTTCACCTTCTTGTTTTCGCGATTTTTCATTTAATTTGGGCGCCGGGAGAGAGTATTAGTTCTGCCGAAAAATTATGTTCGCCTGGAGGGATCCTTTGGCGTGGTGAACCAACTTAATTGTGGACAAATAAACAGTTTCCAGCAAATCATGATAATTTTTGGAGTAGGCTGATAGAAATTTGTTTAGTTTCCAGTAACGATTGCAATTGAATTCTCAATGTTGTGGGGTTTAATTCAATGTGAGATCACATTATTCATGAATGTTTCTTCATCTTGAAAATTCAATAAAAGCCGGTTTTTTGGGGTGACAACTTGAATTTTAGACTTCATTATGAAAATTGAATATTGAATTTTATTGAATTTTTAATAAATTGAGAAGTCGGTAAAATAATTGCCTGAATTTTCTTGCTGAAAAGTGAGTTATTGGCAAAACTAAATAATTTCGAGGGGACAATTTTTATTTTTTTTTTAATATCCTCATCAATGTATTTTTTCTATGGTATAAACCTATGGAGTTCTCTGAGATCGAATGATTGTCAACAGTTCGAATTCTTCTAGAGATATTTCTGATGATCACGACAAAAATTTAATTTTTGTGAAAAATATTAAAGAAAATTTAAATGTTCTTCTATCAATTGTTAATTTCCCTCCAGTAAATCTGTGCCACTCCGTCAAATATTCTCATGATGAGTCAATTATTGGAGGGAATGTACAAATAAATTTAGCGAAAATTCTACTTATGCATCACCCAATTATCGAATACAATGGAAATGTTAAATAAAAAATACTCAATGGTAAAAAAAGCAATGGCCTTTTCTATTAAATTTCTACAAAAACTTCATCAACTCTTTGAAATTTGAAATGCCTCTCAGCATTATTGCCACGGCATTGTTTCTCATTCGAGCTGAACCCCCCATTATCATTCCTAGTGTTTGTTTTAATATACATTTTTCCCGACTTGAGGTAGCGCACGGGGTTTATGAAATGTATCTGGGTGATGGACTCCAAAGAGCATCCAGCCTGAAGCCAGATTAAAGGGAGACAGAAGGATGTTTATTAAAACGAATTTTCAAGTTGAGTTTACCGATTGTGTTTCACCACTCGAGCATTGAAGCGAAAAAGCATAATTTGAGAATTGGAAAATCATTGCAATTGTATCAACAATTACGTGTAATGAAAATTCACAATATTTAACTTTTAATTGAATTTAGCATCGACTCGTTGATGGAATTTTTCAATCTGCTGTGGAAACTCAATATCGAAACCGTTGTTATTTCCAATTAATTGGGAATTTGCAATGATAATCAGGTGAATTTTCCAAAAGCGTATTTTAAAATTGCATTTTTCAATTAAAGTTTCATTGAAATATTCGCGGACGCGAGAGAATTTATTGACAAGCGACTTTTTCGCGAGCGATTTTAATCCTCGATTTTCCACGCCGACATTCGTCTCTTAATGAAATATTCATTTTGATTGAAATCATCCGGAGAAAATCTTAAAAACAGAAGATCAATACTCTCTGTTGAACTAGATATCAGAAAGATCCCCCAAATTTGTTCTCTGAGTGCAGCAACTGCTGTTTTTTTGAGATGCAGTGATTGAAAAAAAGGGAATCGATACTCTTGAATAATAACATTCAGTCGCGTGAAAATCCCACCGCAATGTCGAATAACTCGATAATTCCTCTGTAATCACTGGCCCACGTTACGAACCGAATGAAAAAATAATACTTCTGTCAATTTTCTACAGGAAATAAACCACTGTCACTCAAAGGGACCCGAGCAATGCACTTGCAGTGGGAAAATGGACCCCAAAAATTTGAAAAACCGAATACAAAATATTTTTTCATCGAAGGATTACTCAACCAACTCAACTGACTCATGGACGAAAAAATTTAACAGAATAACCTATCGAATTCGTTAGAAAATTCTATTGAATTTCTGTTGAACTGCTCTATTAGTTTTTGGCAGATTCTATTGAAATGTTCAATAGAAAATATTCAGTAGAAAAAGTCAACAGAATTCAATTTTTATAAGTTTTTTCGTTTGATTTTCTGGATGAGAAGAAAAGAAAAATAGAATGAAAAAAACTTGGAAAATTTGAGTCGAGTAAATTCTATAGAAAATATATGAAAAGAATAAGTTATATAGAAAAATCGAATTCTGTTGACTTTTTCTACTGAATATTTTCTATTGAACATTTCAATAGAATCTGCCAAAAACTAATAGAAAGTTTACTAGAAATTCAATAGAATTTTCTAACGAATTCGATAGGTTTTTCTATAAAATTTTTTGGTGCGTGCTAGCATTTGGAATTTATGAAAAGCTCGAAGTAGCATTTAAAATTCCTATATACGTACTCCAACAGTGCAGAGTCCAGCGTGGACACTAGTCACATTTAATTCCCATCCAGCGAGATAAAGGATATATCCTGTCACCGAAAGCACGATGACATGATTGACAAAATTGACTATCGATAGGATTTTTTTCCCGACAGATTGAGCCTCTTCGGTAGCAGCCATTCTCCCTGAGCTCGGAGATTTTCAAATGGATCAGCACCGACTGACGGGAGACAAACGAGACATTCGCCTTTTTTTTCCCTCTTGCCTCTGAATTATCGGTGCTGTCAATTCTCACGTAGGTTGACTCTTAGATAGCGATTAACGAGACTGATAATGAGTCGGGATTATGTTGCAAGAAATCAACAGTTTTAATTACTAGATTGTTTCCTCAACTGTACTTGGAATTGCCCGTTGAGGGGATTGCCTGTACCTACTTCGCAATTACACTCGGCAGTCGGTGAATTTTAACGGCTAATCATTTGCCCACCCTAACGCGTCGGATGATTAAATACGATAAACAGGTTCATTGCACACAAAAAAAAATTGAAAATTTGAAAATTTTTGTCTGCAGTTTACGGTACATTTTTTGGAAATTTTTATCGAATTTCATTACCACTGACATTTCAAAGGACTTCGTTATTGGAAATTCAGAATTTCGCGGAAATATCAAAGAGAATTGTCAATTTCAGTTCCTTTTTTCCGTGACAGTGAATAGAGCGTAACAGCCTATTGTGTTCCTAATGCGTAAAGTTTTACTTTTTCCCACGCGAACCCCATTGTTCCCCACAATTTTACACCCGCGTGCGCAAAATTTCCGTTTCCGCCCAAACGATAAAAAAGTACTGCAAATGCTCACATCAGCCCCACTGTAACCACTAAAACTCCAATACAGTTCACACAAGAAGAATATTCAGCACACGATAATACTCATCAATCTTTCAACCCGTCCATCCCCAAAAAACATAAAAACCAAATCAATAAATAAAAATAATACATCGCACTGAGTGACCGCAACCCCGGGGGTCCGTGAAATCCACTCTCTAATAAATTGATATCGAGTAAAACTATTTGTCCACCGGACACTGAGTAAACGCCCCAAATAATTCCCAATTGGAAATTTTAAATAAATATCAAACTTCATCCACATTCCTATTTTTATATTTCCCAGCTATTGAAACGCGAATAAATCATACCGTACTCAATCAAACGTAAATAACGCAAGATATGCACGACGGGGGGAGTATAAAATTCATGGTCCATGAAATGTGAATATTGTTGAATTTCACGGTAAATGAAATTCAAAAAAAATATAGAGTTAAATGAAATAAAAAAAAAAAACTCCAGCCGAGTCCACGCAAACAGTGGTTTCACGGGGTATTTAAAGTAGTTATTGATTGCCATAACTTCTCACAAACTTCCAAGTGTCATTTCACATGGAACAATGGATAGTTATGATACTCCCAGACATCAACTTGAATTCAGAAATTCGATATCTGTTTGTAATGAAAAGACAATGAGCAATTCTTAGCGTTCAACTTCTGTCAGACGTCATTTGCCACTGGTGGATGACACCAAGTCGAACTAATTTCCAAACTTCTCCGAACGTAAAACTCAAGAAGATAATAATAATAATAATAATACCGAGGTGTATGAGAGAATAAGGGCCTTTTAAAATGGATAAATTGATTTTTTGGTTTATTCTGGTGAGCATTGGCATGAGAGGTGCATCGGGGGATATAAAAGAGGATGAAGGTGGTGAGTGCAGCTGTGGAGTTTTTCCAAGCGATTCTGCTGATCCAATACTGGAACAAACATTCCAATTTAAAGTACCATGCAGCGCGGATGGGGCCAACAAATGCCAACAAATTTGCACAGTCCTGGTAAATACCGGTAGTGTAATAAAAATATTAGCATTTTAATGTAAAAATGTTATTTAACATAAATTTGCAGGCACAAGCTGCACAGTACAAGGCGCCAGATATGATTTGCGACAAGTTGAAAATTCACGTGGAAAAATTACGTGTAAGTTTCCCTCCTCCTCCTGGCTATTTCATCTTTTTTTCTCTATCTCTCTCTCTTTCTCTGTTTTCTATTTTGTTGCTGGAAATAAGAGGAGAGAAAATTGGAATTCAAGAGCAATGGACTTTCGCATTTCTTTTTATACACAACGAATAAAAAAGAAGCAGTGAGTATCGTCAGAATGGTAGCAAAATCGATGATGAAATTTTTTTTTCTACCTCTCATTGGATAGTCAGAAGTTTCCTATTTCAAACTTTATGGAGGGAGCCTATTTTCTCCTGATAGTTCTTGAGATATAAACGAAAAACTTTTTCACAGTGTAGAAGTTGGTTTTTAAATATCTCGAGGGCTGTTGTAAATGTGCTTCCTCGGGCTCGTGTTTGGAATCTTGAATTTTCCCTAACAATCCGATGGAGAGAATTTTCAACCTTTTTGCGCTTGCCCTATTTATCGGGGATATTCGACGGATTTATTTTTCATTTGGGTGATTGCATATTTTTAGGATTATATTTTTGTTTTTGCATGTGATATTTTTGCGAAGCGATAAATGGCTTAATATCTCCGAATCTAAGGGAGATAGCGAAATTTTTGTCATGACCTTTTTTGTAGCCCTCACTTCGCCCTACAAAAAAGGTCATTATGAAAATTTTGATATCTCTCTTAGATTTCGAGATATTCATGGAAAACTGACGAATAGCCAAATCATTTCAATTTTCAGTTTTCGATGGATATCTCGAAATCTAAGGGAGATAGCGAAATTGTTATCATGACCTTTTTTGTAGGGCGAAGTGAGGGCTACAAAAAAGGTCATTACGAAAATTTTGGTATCTCTCTTAGATTTCGAGATATTCATCGAAAACTGACGAATGGCCAAATTGAGCAAGTACTTTGCAATTGAATTTCCAAAAATGAATTTATAAAATCGCCAATGTCTTCAAAATTAAGGGAATAATTTTGAGTTATTCACAACTGAAAACAACCCATGTAGCCTCTCCCATGAAGCTCATATTCAAAGCCATAACTCAAGAAAGTACAGTGCGAATTCAATAATATTTAATCCCAGAGAAGTCATCGAGACGACAGTTTAGAGTTATGGGCGGAGCAATTGAGCAATTATTCTCCAACTGTTAATTCCAAAATCTATTTCCGAACAGAACGAATATTTCAAACCCAAAAATCTAGATCTACAGACACGATTTTTCAATTGAAAAATGCGAATAGCCCTTCAACAAATCATAATACCCTGCAAAAATAATTTCCAGGTCAGTCTGAGCATGAAAATTTGCAATCATCCCTGGAAGCAAATCGACCTCAATATTCCCACCGTCTGCTGTCACAATGGGAAATCAATAGCCTGCAATTTCTAGGAATAAAATATTCAATCAACTTTGTTATAAAACAATTTAATTCAACCAACTTATGCAGATTCAATATCATTAATATTCACAATACGTTTGATGTAGCAATAACTCTGACGAAAAGAAAAATAAAAGTGTAATGTAAAAAAGAACGGGGTCACAAAGGAGGTTTGAAACACAGTTTATGCAGATTGATTTATTCCATTCAATTGCTGAAGAATCACTCGAAGTTCATCCACAATTCTTTCCAGGCCCACTCAACATCAATCGCCATTAACTTTTCTCATTAAACTCCAGGAATAACAGGCTGTGCGATAATTTCACCATCAACTAGTTTCATTTTTTTCTACACACCCACGTGTTCACTCGTTGAAACAGCACAAAGAAAAGTACTTCGTCCATTATGTTTAAACCGAGGGATTATTGTGCCTTTTGACAGTGAATTTCACTGTCATTCCCCGGAGTAAAGGATATCCACGTACTTTGGCTATTTTTTTCTTCCCTGAAATGCTATTCTACTTCATTTGAACCCCATTTGACCCCAAGCTTCAGGACTCACAAGGATTTTATTATTCAAACTTCGCAGGTCTGAACTTTAATCTCGATATTGAACCGTTGGAAAAGATTTGAAAAATCTGAGATAAAACTGGAAAGTTTACTTTTGGAGAGAGATTAATGGAATACTTTTAAAAAATGCAATTTTTGAAATTTACGAGTATTTTCTATAACTTATCAGCAATAAATTTTCCACAATTTCAATTATTTATTTATAAACAACGATTGTTTAAAAAAGTAATAATTCTGTGCAAAATGTTATTTTAATGACGCTGAATATTCATCATTTGCAGGTCTGAATTTGAATCTCAATATTGAACCGTTAGAAAACATTTTAAAAATTACTATCATTTTCCATAAATAATTTGTAAACTGATTTATTCATATTCAGAATTTTACCAGAAATAGATTTATAAGTAATAAAATGAGGTTCCCGAAAGTTTAAACAATTTAAGTTATTTATTTATAAATAAATAATGTTTATAAATCTCAATATTGAATCTTCAAAAAACATTGTAAAAATCTGAAAAAAATAGAAAGTTAACTTTTGGAGAAAGATTAATGAAGCAATTTAAAAATTGCAATTTTTGAAAATCCCGATTATTTTCTACAACTACTTTCTAAACAACGAATGTTTAGAAAAATAATAATTCTGTGCAAAACGTAATTTTACTAACGCTGAATATTCATTACTTTCTTCAAACTCTTCTCCCGCAATTTAATCAACAAATTTGCTGATTGAAAATGGTTGAATCCCTAGCCTGATCCTCCCCAAACTGCAAAAAATACTTGGATATCCTTAACCCAGCACATACCGAATCCACGGGCGGCATCATTACGTCCAAGTGCTGTTATTTCACCAAATAGTTCAGCCACTTTATGCAGCAATTTGCGTGATCTAGCCCCATCACCATGGCTAATATCCCAGACTATCGCTTTGATCAGTATATTCCATAACTCATACACCACAATGCATCAAAAAAGCGGATGTTCCACGAAGACTCCATTTGCCTGCTGAATAAAAATCCAGTAGCGAAGTGGTAAAACCATTCGAGTCGAATGAGCCCTTCCCTAACTTTTCAAAATATCTCCGAATCCACCCTAAATACCGAAATTTTCGTCACCACCTTTTTTGCAGCTCTCACTGTCCCCCACAAAAAAGATCTTACCAAAAATCCTGCCATCTCCCTCAGATTCCCAGATATCCCCCGAAAACCGCCTAAAAATCCACTAGAACCGTTTCCCCCTTCGCTCCCGCACAAAAAAAAAATCCCCCGTACCGTGAGCGCCAGCCATTTCCCCCCGAACAGTCCATTCACGAAGATTGATTAATATTATCAAATGCCTGCATAACAATCCCAAGTTTATCCTCAAGCTTCGCCAGTCGACCGGCAATATCCTCCGAAGTTGTGCCTTCCTGTTTGACTTTGGAAATAACCGACTGTAACGCCAACTTGGCACTCCCAAGCAATGATTTTTTGTCCCTGTCCTGAGCAGCAGCATCTGAGCACTTCAAATAAGCATCTGCAAGGCTGTGACACAGCTCAAGTACCCTGCTGATAGAATACGTATCACTAAACCACCTGGGATCAGCAATACAAGATCGATAAGCCCGTTGCAAATACTGCGCAGCCTTTTGAAAATCGACATCATTACCCTGAATGACAGCCAACTGTGCATACAGCCCCCAAACATCCGGATCATTATGCACAACTGATGTTATTCTACCAAACAATTCAAGTGCTTTATGCAGCAATTTGCCTGATCCAAGCCCATCGGCATCGATAACACCATTGCCAATAGCTTTTGTCAGTATATTGAGTACCTGTAGGTCAATGTGTTTACCCTTAAGCTCCAGTATACGATGGTAACACCTTATAACATCGGAAAAATAACCGAGATCGATACTAACAACCATGAGATTATCCCAGACCTCCCACTTGTCGTAATTACACTTGACCGCATCCTGAAGTGAATGCCATGCACGTTGTTTGTCACCTAGTTTGATATAAGCCTTTGCCAAATTATTCCACGCCTCGAAGCTCGTTTGTTCGAGTGCACAATAACGTCTGTACGACATTGCCGCCAATTTCCAATTTTCAACTTGTAGGGCTGCAAAGCCCAAGCGTATCCACACATTCTCCTGAATGTTATTGAGCTCCGCTGATTTTTTCAGATGAGGTATTGCCTCATCGTAATTTTGTTTGGCAAAATAGTACATACCCCAGTGACGCTGTGCTCTACTGCTTGTTTCGTTTGATAATTTCCAGGCGGTTTCGTAGTGCAATGTCTCCTGTTCTGCATCACCGAGCAAACACCACAGTTTCACTGTTGGCTTCTTCGTGATTTCTTGGCGAATTATTTCAGCTGCCTGAAATGTCGAGAGATGGATAATTGAGAGGGGGGAGGGAGGGGAAGTCGAGTGTAAATATTCTTTTTTCGTTGAAAATGGGGGGATTGTTTGGAGGATGCTTGCAGATTTAATTAATGTTTGCTTCGAAAGTTATTGAGGTGTGGTGATAACACTTTTATAAAGAGAAATTATAGTGATGTCAATATTTTTGCGCTGTCTCAAAGTGATCAAAGGCAGGAATTGAATGATTTAGAATTTATAATGGATGAATGTCAAATGAAAAACACTCGAGTGTTGATTGCATTTTTAATTGGAAATTTTTAAATGTACGGCTAGTTTTATTTGCTAAATTATTTTCATAATGCAATTAGTAATTGCTATTAATTAATGATTGCATTATTTTCGTAATGTAATCATTAGTTGTAATGATGGATTTAACAGGAAATATGACTTTACTGGATCGTGATTGAGTCACGGAAATAAAGACAATTAAAGACAGCAATTGAACAATTTAGAATTTATAAATGTTGACTGTCGAATGGAAAACGGTCAAGTGTAATTGCATTTTATTCCGATAAAATGGAGAGTAGAGTGTGACATTAATGAATCAGGAATGTTTCCCAGGGCTAATATTGACATTTTAAAACATTCCTTTCACGTTTACTATCACAATTCGTTAAATTATTTTCATAATGATTGATATGACGGGAAATATGACGTTTTTTCATTGTGATTGAGGAAATAAAGACAATAAAAGATGAAAATTTAATAATTTAGAATTTATAATTATTGAATGTCAAATAGAAAACACCCATGAGTGATATAAATAAATATGAATGTTTTTTATTAATTGCGATTAATTAATAGCATTTTATCCCGATAAAATGGAGAATCGAGTGATATTAATGAATAAGAATATTTTCCCTTTAATTTGATAATTTCTCACCTGATTTTCATCATCTAATCATCAATCGCAATTAATTAATCCATAATAATTCATTATTATTGATATTATAAATAATGAATTCATCAATTAATTGCAATCACTGATCTACTGAAAAATATGACTTTAGTTTTCTTTTAAAATCAATCATTTATTGCCCTATTGATTTTTATGGGATCAACTTGCACCCGAGAGTTTGAAGCTTGAAAGCTTTTTGTTTCCCCAGTGTGTTTTATTATTTACCTTGTGACGAAGTTCCAGGAGTGTATAACAAACAATAACTTGTTCCCATTGATGAAGTTTTAGGTACAGCTCGAGAGCACCCTTAACCATTCCAAGACTCAGCATTGTATCCGCTAATATCTCCTTGAAGTGCCAGATCGGTTTCATACCGGAGGCAAATATATTGTACGTTCTGTGGTATACACTGGGCTGTGCATTGCTATAGTGAGTAATTAGACACTCGGATTGCGATAGAGCGCGGTCTATGCTGCGTTTGTCCCGCATCTCGAGGAGGCAACGCTGGCGCAATGCTTCCATCTTCAATGGCCAGCATTTCGTATTTTCTATTATTGTCTGCGAGTCAAAAGGAATTGAAATTGAATTTTCAGACAACGAGAAACTACGGAAGCGAGGTGGTAAAACACTGACTCCTCTTCACGTCTTGTTACGGAAATCAAGTAGCACGTGTAACGCTTCCGATCAAATCAGCAGTGAAGCAGTAAAACGATTTAATGGGATTTAGCTCTTTACTGAGGTGAGTTTTTGAGAATATCTCGTAAGATACGGGAGATGGCGAAATTTTTGTCACAAAATTTTAAAACGGCAAATTGACAAATACATTTTTTGCAGTCGTTAATTTTCTCTCTAAAAAATTATTTATTTATGAATTTCTTTACTTATTTATTTTAATTAATTGTTAATTAACCGCTAACTTTTGTAAAGCCGTTAATTCTCTCTCGAAAAAATTTAATGGCAACAATTTAGTTATTTGCCTTAGATTCCGAGATATTCATTGAAAACAGACCAATAACAAAAATCGACTTGAGGATATCCGAGCACTTGAGCTATTTTTTCTCCAGCGAAATATATATTTTTCTAGTCGAACATGAGAGCTTTAATTTGAGCCCCATTTAACCCTAAGCTTCCGGGAATTTTATAATGATTTTATTATTTAAACTTTTCTGAATTTGAGTTTCGATATTTAATTGTTAGAAAAGATTTTAAAAATAGTAAATAGCAAATTTATTCATATTCAGAAATTTACCAGAAATGGATTCAATGCCTTAAAAAATAAGATCTCCGAAGGTTTAAACAAATTCAATTATTTATTTATAAATAACGAATGTTTAAAAAATAATAATTCTGTGGAAAATGTAATTTACTGACGCTGAGTAGTCTGTACCAAAAAATATACTTGGATATCCATCAACAACTTCACCACCTCGATACTGAAATAATCGATATATTATTATTACAAGGCTTTGTAATTTTAACAATGCTGTCAGTGAGTTATTACGATTTACCACTTCGCCCCCGTCCAGTAATAATTTTCTGATAAATAAAATATTACGTTTAAATACGGAGTGATTTCTTCCACGACGAGGTGGTCTTTTGGCTGGCACAATTGCAAATGCATGCTGTAAAATAAAACAACAGGGAAATTGACTTGGTCACATCGTAGTCAACACATCTTTGCTAATAAATCAGCAATTTGTTTTATTTTCAATTCAATTCATTTTAAATTGAATTTAATAATTCATGAAATTCAACATTGTCCCAACGCTAAATTTTTTTACCTTTCCCTAAATATTGGTTTCAAAATAAATTTTTTAAACAACAGATACTGCAATTAATTTCATAATTCACCCAGGGATGGCCATCAATCTTCCGATTCTTCAATATTAAAAAAATTTCCCACTTCCATTAATTAAGGTTTAAATATACTAATTCGAAGTTGAAAAAATAGTAAAATAATTGATAATCTAAATTTCGTATTGATGATGCATTCAATATTTAATAATATGAAACTGGAAATTTTCTATTTAAAAAATAAAACCAACTTTCTTAATAATAATAATAATAATAATAATAATAATAATTAATAATTTTATTATTATTATTATTTAAATTTATTATTATTATTATTATTATTTAAATTATCAACTGGAGGTACTTGACTTGGTTTATTATTATTATTATTAATTTTAAATTGAGGATTACTTCAATAATTAAGATTTAAGAGTGATATTGACAAATTGGCTACTTAACAATTTAGCCTAATCTGCTATATATGGTTAAATAAATAAATAAAATACTTGATAATTTAAAGGTACAGCGTTGGAAAGAATATGAAAAATCACAATGATTTTTTCAATTATCGTCGAAAAATGAATTATCCTAACTCAAAAAATTGGAGATTTTGTAATTAACGAATACAATGTTTCCATTCTAAAGCAAAAGGGCGAGACGATATCAGTCAAATATACCCTAGACCACCGAGGTAATTCTAATCCCCACGAAAAAATCCATCTCAACCATGATTGTTGATTTCGCCTCTGTAATCATGAAAAATTGAACCCCCCAACTCACCATTTCGCCATAACGACATTTTCCTCCACACACCCAAGTTGGCTCTGTTGAATGCTCTCCGAGAACTTGACGCTCTCCAATCTCAGATCGTCATTTAAATGCAGCGACACAGGAAGTTGTGGGCACTCGTCAAATGGAAAATGCTCCCTCTGAGTCTGAATATTCAGGAATAGCTGTGCCTTCTCCTCGGCCTGATACTTGGTGCGTTTTCCCATGGCCCCTTGGAGCTCGAGGGTGAGCCCAGCACTGGCCTCAGCCATCTTCAGGTACATTTCGATATTGGGAATGTGCCTGTAGAACATCCACACCTGTGCAGCCTCGACATTGAACAAAGTCTCCAAGTACTCGAATTCTGGAATTCTCCAGATGTCCAATTCCCTGACTTTTTCAATGAGTCGTTCACTCGCCTCCAGCAGAGCCGGTGACTCCTCTTCCATTATTAATTGATGGACTAGATTCGCTCGCAAGAGCCACCACAGAGTGGTAGGGCAAGCGCTTTGCAATGTTTTATTCGTGAAAATGAGCTTAGAGAGGTACAGAAACTCGAGGCGTTGAACGTTGTCATTACACTGATCTCCAAGTGCTAATCCTTGGGCGGCTTCATCGCGCTTGTGAAGCAGCCAGTCAACGTCCTCACTGACCTCTGGCCCAGTCCAATTACACTGAATGAATGAGTATAACGAGGCTACACCGATGCACAGCCATTCAATGCAACTCTCGTAATCATTTTCGATTGATTTTTCCAGGGTTGATTGGAGATTTTCAGAGGATATGAGAGTCCTCAGGTTTAATTTTGTGGATAAATTGTCGAGGAGGGACTTGTAGTAGAGAGCGTCGTCACCCGCAGGGGCACCTTTCCAAAATCAAGGATAAAAATCAACGTCATCATCGCTGTTCATCAGTTTTCTTTAGCTTTTTGTTTGGTTGAAATTTATTTTATGGTTCATTATGGATTTTTTACTGGTCTGTGGCTAACGTGACCCATCTCACATTCTAGTCTTTTGTAATTTAAATGCAACCCATACACTAAATGGAAATGGGAAACTGTAAGGGCGTAAAAGCCGAATAGTTGGAAATGGATTGATTTGAACTGAGTAACAAAAATCGGAGAATTCAGTATTTTTCGGGGAACGTGCGGCAAAATATTTTTTACGTAAAAAAAATTTTCTAGGAGTTTATTGAGTATTTATTCGGTATTTTTTTAGTTAAAAACGAAAGGTGATAGCGCGTTGAAAATTGTATTTTCAATCTCTTCCAAAAATCTTTTAAAAATTCTATTCAATCGTGTAATGAGTAATGAGGGGAATAAAACTCGGGGTTTTGGAGCAGTCTTCATTTTTTATGAAGAAAATCAATTGATTTGGGAATTCCGATACAAATGGGGAACTTGCATGATTTTTAAAATTTTTTAATCTCAACTTTCGGTTGTAAAGATCATAAACATTGGAAATATTGCACGAAAGAAGTTTTGCCTCGGAAGCATTAACTTCCGAAGTACTTGCATATCCGTCTTTATTATTTATCGAATTTACCCCCATTGTATAACACTTTTTTTCAAACAAAGTGGATTATTCGTTGTGGAGATATTAAAGATTGAAGAGGAAGTTTCGCTCCTATCCTACGAATACAATACCTTCCTGTTACGAATAAAAACTTTCCATTAACTGAACATTAAAATTCCACACACGGGCTTTCAGCGTGCAATTAATGGGAGAGTGCTAAGTCTTTCCTTTTTCTAGTTTCTATAAATTTTTAATTCCACGAATGAATCAACCATTGGCGTAGTGTTCTGCGGGGAAAAATCAATGGCCGGTTTTCAAAAAATATCTGGAAATCTAGGAGATCCGATCAATTAGCCCCTCATGTATAGATATTCCAAATTTTTATTTTTTTCCTCATTGAAGTAGTTTTGAACAAAACTGCGAGCTAATAAAAAACATTTGCTAGTTAGTACTTTTTTTAAAATAAATTTTTGAAAAATCACCCCTGAAAAAAAAGGCGTTATCCCCCCTATTTCATTATTTCCAAAAAATTTTACCACCAATCGGTAGCAAATTGTTTGAAGATTTTTGCGAGTTAAGAAAAAATCGTCAATGCACTCCTATTATTGGGTAAATTAACAATTCCAATTTCAACTGAAAACCAGAGTTGATGACCAGAGTTTGTCGCAGAGATGCCAGACAAGATATGAATGTTTTTTTGGGCTCAAA